GGTGCGGGAGTCCCTGCGCGCGCGGGGCCTGCCGGAGAAGGCGGTGCTGCTGCTGGACAACTCGCCCACGCACCCCAACGAGAACGTCCTGCGCTCGGACGACGGCCAGATCTTCGCCAAGTACCTGCCGCCCAGCGTGGCCGCGCTGATCCAGCCCTCGGACCAGGGCGTCGTGGCCGCCTTGAAGAGGAACTACCGCGTGGGCCTCCTGCGCAACAACCTGGAGGAGGGCAACGACCTGCGCGCCTTCTGGAAGCGGCTCACGCTGCTGGATGCCCTCTACGAGGTCGCGGCGGCCTGGAGCCTGGTGAGGCCGGGGACCATCAGCCGGGCGTGGAGGAAGATCCTCCCCGTGCCGGAGGAGAAGGAGGGCCTGGACCCGGACCAGGAAGACGTCTCCGTGGCCACCGTGGCCGCCCTTCTGCAGCACACCAAGGGGCTGGAGCACGTGACCACGGAGGGCGTGGAAAAGTGGCTCGAGGTGGACAGCTCCGAGCCCGGCTACGAGGTGCTGACCGACAGCGAGATCATCCGAAGAGCCCAGGGCCAGACGGACGAGTCCAGCGGGGACGAGGACGAGGAGGTGGAGCTCATTCCGGAGAGACACCTCAACCATGCCGCTGCGCTCCGGTGGACTGAGAATTTGCTGGATTATCTGGAGCAGCAAGGCGATATGATCCTGCCCGATAAGCTGGTCATCCGGAAGCTTCGAGCCACCATCAGGAATAAGCAGAAGATGACAAACTCGAGCCAGTAACGGCGCTTCGGTTTTGCCCGGTTCTGGCAGTTGTGACACGGGACCGCTTGGCGGTGCGGCTCCATCCACTTGCTTTGTGTTCTGACTTCCCAGGCGCAGAGACGCGGGGAGGGGGGGGTTGGGGGGTTTTGAGGGTGGCGCGCTTTCCCCCTTTGTTTGTGCAGATCAGGGGAAGCGGAGTCTTTAGAGCGACACCTTACACGCACGCATTCATTTTTATGAATCTGCAGTTACCCCTCTGTCATCGTGGCATACCGCTGACGTTTCCTAAATTTTCTAGCCAGAGTCAAAGGTAACCGTGGACAAACTGAGCACTTTCTGAAATCCCTCGCTTGATTTATGAGGGCTGCCATGGTAATCTTTTCTTGTGCTGACCATCCTAAATGGTTGCTTGTTCTGGTTATCTGTATAGGCTGACAAGGTGAAAGAGATCTATATTGTTAGATTTCAGGATGATCTGTAATTCTAAAATGAAATCCAATGATGGGGAAATAACAATTTACGAACTGTAAAAATAACTTAGAAATTAATTCTGTTCTCTTAGGTTTCTGTGGATTGCAAGAGGGTGAGGTGTTTCTGAAAGTGAAGTAAGTATGGCAAGTGATTGCTAAATGAGTGAGAAACTTTTGGAGGGCTCATATTTAAAAAGTCATTCTGATTAGTTCTTTTGTAGGCAACTGAAAATTAAAAATTTCAGAAACTCTGGGTTATTTATATAAAGGGAATACATAGACTTGTTTTAATTTTTTAAATTATGAATTGGGTAACAGTATAGGTTTATTATTTATTCGTCTAATTATAGTACAGGTTCTGAAGTGTTACATGTGATGATATGAGCTCCCACGTTATATTTAGAGGAACAACATTGGGAATTTGAAATTTATTGTTTGTTAGTATTTTTACTGCATACTTGGAAGTGTTATCTATAATTTGAAACTTTTGTCATAGCTGGCCCTTTTATTTGATAAGAAAAGAAGAAATGAAAAGAATAAAATTTCTATTATTTTTAATCAGTCATGTTTGTGTCCTGTTTTATGAAGAAAGCAGAAATAATTGTGGAAAGTGCCAGACACTAAAGAATTTCATTTATTTTATTTATTTATTTTTTTTTGAGTTGGAGTCACTCTGTCACCCAGACTGGAGTGCAGTGGCCACTCCCAGCCACCGCAGCCTCAACCTGCTGGGCTCCAGCAGTCCTTCCGTCTCAGCCTTCCAAGTAGCTGGAACTACAGGTGCGTGCTACAACGCCCGGCTAATTTGTGATTTATTGTAGAGTTGCGGTCTCGCCAAGTTGCCCAGGCGGGTCTCGAACCTGCAGGCTCAAGCAGTCCACTCACCTCGGCCTCCCATCATTGTTTATTATTTTGACACTTGCACAAAGGGATTAATTATCCTGAAATTTAACTCCAAATTTTGATAAGCTTTCTTAGTAAGCTCAATATGTTTATTCAAGAGACTGAGAAGTCTGTGTATATTAATATTAATATAATTCTTAAGTTGCAACCAAAGTGTTTTCATATTATTTCAAATTTTGACCCAAAAGTTTTAAAAAACAACAAATTAGCATTGTTACCTGTTAGTCTTTTTTTTAACAAGTTAACTTTCTCTTTGAAGTAGTTAACATTTTACAGTACCTTTCTAGAATTTTAAAACTTTACAAAACTTTTTAGCTTTCCATAATTTCTGTTATCTTCATGATAGGTATACTTCTAGGCTTTTCAAAGACTTATTGGTAATGAAAGTTTAAAAGTCATGTTTATTGCATAAATTTCCTTCCTGTGGAGTGGGGAAAAGGCATCAGAAGTTAACATATGAGTTGAATCAGATAATTATACATTCTGCTATAAATTGTCTGTAAAAGAACTTTTCTAAAATGGAAGTGTGTACTGAAAAGCTGCTTGGAATTGCTGTCTGGATTTACTCCCTGTTTAAAATTCGTCCCGTCGGTGAACTGCAGCTGTATCGTTGCCACCTAGTGGTAAAATCAGCGTTGCTGTGGAGCTGTGTGGTTCTGAACACAAACACCGGGCAAGAGGTTCCCTGCTTGTGGCCTTGAGTGCAACTCTTGTGACTCTCCCTGACCTGTGAGCCAGGCTCCTTTCTTGGGTCTACGGCTGTGTGCTCTTCTCTCGAGTCTGCTGACACTATCAGGCTAGCAGTTTCGTTTTGGATTCTTAATTATAAAGGCTACCGATTATTGAATGCCATTTTGTGTTCTAAGCAGTATCCTTATGTCTTTTAGTCCTCTAACGATGAGCCAGATGGAGATACTCATGCTCACTCTCAATTGCTGAACGTTACCTGGCTACAGGTAAGAGTTTCAACCCGCTGTTGGACTCCAAAGCCCATGCGCACATGATCGATCCTAGGCTGGCCTCTTGGACTTCTCACCATCTATTCTTTGCCTCTCCACTTCACCATGGGGGTCTGCGTTTACGACTGTTTCCCAGCTCCCTTGGGACAGCCATTGCCTTTTCTCGTTGCCCTTTTGTGAGATGAATTTTCCTCTTCACCCCTCTGTTGTGTCTCTGTCACCTTTTTATCAACACCCTAGTAGCATTTGAAACTTGGACCATTTGTTCTCCGGTTTCCAGCTAGCCATGCCCAGTGGTGATTCTTTTTTACTTTAACAGTTTAAAAGCCAGCATTAGGAAATGAGCGATTCATGCAGACGTTTACCTTAATGTGGCAGTCTCAACTGAGGAGCTGGCACAGCAGAGCACCACAGGGAAGTCTTGCTCGGCCAGCGATGTTGGAAACCACTACTACCAAAAGCATGGGAGTACGTGCCAATCCCTCCAGAGACAGAAGGGGAAAGGAGAGCCCTCCAATGAGATGGGAAGAGAGTCGAGGTTAAGGTCAAACAGAAGGGGCGTTCGGAGAAGAAAGGAAACGAAGCGGACTCTGGCGCCTGCTGTGAGGAGTGCTCTACTCGTGTGCATTTTGGTGTGTCATCCAGTCCTGGGCTTGCGAGTATGTGCTGCTTAGCCTTCCATGATTCCTGTAGTCTCTGCTTTTTACTCCTTACCTGTGGGATATTGGGAGTCGGTACCAGGCCGAATGCCCTTGGTCAGTACCTGTAACAGATGATGCCAAGATCTGTTTGGGATCTGTGTCTGCCCTCAAAGCCAAAGTCCTTCATTTCCAAATTTCTGTTCCGTCGACACCTCACCAGGGGCTGTGTTTGGCGTTCTGTTTTTCCATGGAAAGACTAGCCGAGGGTTATGCTTTCTCACCGGTTTTGGCAGATTTATTTTCAATGACACGCTGTAACACACTCAAATCCAACTGTGCGGTACGATGCTTCTTTCACTCCTAGTAGCCAAGAGTTGTGTGTGAGTTGATGTCCCTGTAGGAGTTGTTATGGGAAATTACAAGGTTGCTTTTTCTGAGAGATTTGAGATTTGGGAGAGGGGCAGGGGAAGCGAGAGTCTTTGTCGTGCTTAAATCCAACATGAATCACAAATTAGTTGAGTTTTACTATATGCGTAAGACGGGTGGGTTTAGGAAAATATCAAAAGAAGGGAAAGAGGTTCCTGTCCCTGAGCGTCTTGAAAGCAAGATGGAAAAACGATGCATATTTGGACAAAAATGCAGAACCATCTGGCTCAATTGTAAGCTTGCATGAAACCACCAGCATAATGAAATGTGGATCATGGAAGGAACCATCAAGGTTGGCTTTGCTTGTTCATGTCTTCGCTGGCCTCTGTTCTGCACACCCTCTGCGTTGTAAGCTTTGCACTGTTCTTGGCTTTGCTGCCCCTGAGTGCCTTGGTTCATGTCTGTTACCTGCATGTTGTCCAGTCACCTCGCCTGGATCCATGATTTGTCTCTTTAGTTGAGAAGCAGGATTTAAGTCTGGAAGAGAAATTAAAATTGGCTTTGCTTCCCCTCTGTAGTGAACTCTCCATGAGCATCCTAATGTCAGAGCCACCCCGATGGGCCAGAGAGTTCGAATAATTATTCAGCTGAGTGCCCAAATAAAGCTAAGCCACCTGGTTTGAAGTAGCAAAATGGATGGTTGCGTTCTTACCGACATCTCCTCCTACTCAGCCCTCTCTGAGGGGCACGTGTGCCCTTGCCCCTCACCATTCCCACCCTAGGCGGTCGCAGTTGTAGTGGTATGTTTTTTAGGTACTCTTAATTGCTACTTGAGTGCAAAAACAGTTTGTTAGGAGAGGGGACCCCCCCAAAACCTGGAATTATCTTTTGGGGGGTGGGCCGCTTGCAGCACAGGCTTCCCTCGCCAGGTAAGTGTTCTAGGAACCCATCTGCATCCATGTACCAGCTAGTGATGGTGTGGGGCTACGTTCAGCTTCGGTGAATTTCTCTATTGGTGGTTCTTTCATTGCATTTGCCCATTTCACGATGGATGATTTATGAGCTCACCTGCTCACAACACCCCACGCTGAGTGTTCAGCAGTTTTTGACCAAAAACAGCATGACCCACGTGTCCCACCCTCCTTACCCACGCGACCTTGTCCTGTGATACTTTTTTGTTTCCCCAGATGAAGAAAGTCAAAGGGAAACGTTTTGCCAAGGTAGAAGAGGTGAAACAAAAGACAGCAGAAGCACTAAAACGCCTCAGAATTAATGAGTTCAAAAACTGTCTTGAGCAGCAGAAAGAGCATCTCAATAAGTGTATTGAACCAAATGGAGAGCACTCTGGTGACTGAAGTTTAAACATGTAAGAATAAGTACACAATTTTTTTTAGTCACGTTTTTAGATCTCATGTTTTAGCCTAACCCCTTGCAAGATAATCGTTCAGGATTTTTTCCAGCCTCTACAAACTTTATACGTTTTTTTATGTATTTGTACAGTACTTAGCTGTCACTTAAAAGTGGGAACGTAGCCGGGCTCGGTGGCTCAGCCTGTCATCCCGCGCCTTTGGGAGGCTGAGGTGAGTGGATGGCCTGAGCCCGCGGGTTCGAGACCCACCTGGGCGGCGAGACCTCATCTCTACAATAAATCAGGAAATCAGCCGGGTGTGGTA